ACAGTTTTGTGAAGAGGGCTGGTCCAAAATTACTCCAGATCATTGTGCAGGTCTGATCTGCAACTAGAGGACACATTTGGTTAAGGTTATTGCTGCCAAAGGAGGGTCAACCAGTTATTAAGTCCAATGGTTCACATACTTTTTCCTCCCTGCACTGTGAATGTTTACATGTTATATTCAATTAAACCATGGCAACATCTAATGTTTGTGTAGTATTATGTTCAGCAGACTGTGTTTTTCTATTGTTGTGACTTAGATGAAGTTCAGACTACATTTTATGACCAATTCATGCAAAACGCCACGTAATCCCAAGGGGTTCACATACTTTTTCCTCCCTGCACTATGAATGTTTACATGTTATGTCGAATTAATCCATGGCCTCATCTAATGCTTGTGTAGTATTATGTTCAGCAGACTGTGTTTTTCTATTGTTGTGACTTAGATGAAGTTCAGACTACATTTTATGACCAATTCATGCAAAACTCCACGTAATCCCAAGGGGTTCACATACTTTTACTTGCAACTGTATATAGGATAAAATAATAGGCATACAAGCAGATTTGATGTAAAAATTAAAATTTTAATATTTTCAAAATGATGGAAAGAATGGGGATGCCTATTTTCTATCTTCGTTTTAATAGAGTTTTGTCATTTTACAGTCTGAAGTCATGGATCAAAATTTGTTAAAATTCCTCCCTGAACAAGAACATTCCGATATTTTTAAAATATTATCCTCTCATATGCTTCTAATGGATACTGTTTCATCGGATTATCTAAAATGTGAGTGATTAAAAAAAGTTTGTAAATAACTTTTTAAGTTGGCTTAAAATATTGTGATCAATGCAAAATGAAATAAGACAATAAAGAAGGCGTTGATTAGCCATTTAACTTTTAATTTTCAAATTAAAGATATCTGCAGGCAATATTCACCTGTACAATTTAACACAATTATAACTTAAAATGCAATTGATTTCAGCTATATTAATTGTAGTCTTACAGAAATTAGACATGTTAATAAAATACTTTATGATTACATATTGAATTCCTTTAATATGACTGTTCTTAAAGTCTCAAAATTTATGTTTCTTTAATACAAAATGATTTTTGAGACAAAATATTATAAGAAAAATATTATATGGGAAATAGGTAAAGGTTTCACAATAACAAGTTTAGTTTTTAAAATGTATCTTTTTTATTTTTGAAAATGAGACATTGCAAAGAAAAGGGAAATGCCTTTTACATTCCATTGCTTTTCATTATCTTTAAGTCTGTGTGATTTATTTCATAAAATCGTACTGAATAATGGGAAAAGTGCTAATCTCAATTCTTGATTTAAATATGCATGAGAAATATCTATTTATAGTTCTGAACAACCTAGATTCATGCAAAGCTTCATCAAAACTTTGAGATAGGAATCTTGTGCATCACTGAATTCATTGGGGGTTTCCCTTTTGTGTAATTATATAACTCATAAGAAACTGTATAATTAATGAATAATGATTATTTTACTAATGTCTTGTAGTATTTTATTTAAATTTCAGGTAATGAGGATTTAGAATTTTATTGCCATCTTCTGCGAGGAAGTCTGAATCCAAAGGATTTTCCAACATATGAATACATAAAATTTGTAGGGAATTTTCTATCTTACAATCATGGTAAGAACTTTTCAGTTCTATAGGAAGAAATTATGACCACATTTACATGGTGAAATATAATTCTAAAAAGAAACTATTTTAAAAATACTTAAAGGGTATTTAAAAAGATGACTTGCTGACATTCAGTACTTGGATTAAAAATATTTCAGAGGTCAGCATTAACATTACTGGCACAACAAAGAATATTTTCTAAAATGCAATTAGCATTTCATAGTTCAGAGTGAAATTCGTAACATTTTGCTAAGGAAGCTTTATAGGAATTATTTCAAAATGCATATGATTATGACTGGAACTCACCCTGCAGATCGAAACTGTCCATTGGCCATAAGATCTTCTTTAATCAAACAGTAATTTCTACATGCTGTCCATGTCATTCCTCAAGGACATCTTTCTTTCATCTGCTTCAGACATCTTAACATTCTTTTAGTCATAATTTAAATGCAGGAAAAATGAACAATTTCTCAGAATAACCCATTAATTAATCTTGTTTGGGGAGCACTTTTGCTGCATTACTATTAGTCTTCTCATTGTTCCTATCACCCATCAACTCCCACTTATGACTGCATGACTGTAACTTTGTTGCTTGTATCCTTACAATTTATATTGATATTGATTGTTTCCTGATTACTTATTTGTACCCTATGACTATCATTAAGTGTCGTACCTTATAATTCTTGACGAATGTATCTTGTCTTTTTATGTACACTGAGGGCATATGCACCAAAGACAAATTCCTTGTGTGTCCAATCACCCTTGGCCAATAAATAATTCTATTCTATTGGGTTCAGTTTTTTTGAATCTGTCACGGATGTATAATTAGCAGCTCAGTAAAAACTCATTTTCCGACATTGGCATTCACAGCAAAGTCTAGCTATCCTATTTATCTTTTATTCAACATTTTTGCTTTCTTCCATTATTTTTCTTCATATGTTCTCTGTCTTCTGATCTAGAATGCACAATTAACCATTTTAAAATTACTGACATCTTTCTATAAGAAATCTGTATCTTCCATTTCCATTTTATGAGAAAAGTAAATTCCTCCATACTACATCTTTTCTCTTCTTTACATCAATGATTATTGCGCAGTAAACATATAGTAACTGAAAACCCCCAAATAAAAGGGCCACAGATACAATACTTCTTGTTAAATTGCCTTCATGTCAGGGGTGGGTTCCTGCCAGTTCTAATCTCTTCTATAGAAGAGGTTCCACAAATCTACCAGGCCGTTTAGAACCAGATCCAGCTCCCTCCCCCCCGCCTGTCCGCACCATATTTGCCCAGCCCACTGCCCACTGCCCACTGATTGGCTGGCTCACCAATCGCCCCATTCGCCTCTTAAAGTCTTAACGCTGTCACGTTTGAACATCCCTGGGGGTTTTTTCTAAAGGGTTAGGGGTGCAAGGGTCTTGTAACTTGACAGCTTTAAGACTTGCATGCTTCAAATGCCAGAGTTTCTGAGCCAACATTTTGGTTGCTAAACAAGAACGTTGTTAAGTGAGTTTCACCACATTTTACAAGTTGGCCATGCCCACCCAGACACATGGCTGGCAAGCCACTCCCACCCAGTCACATGGCCATCAAGCCACTCCCACAAAGCAGGCCACACCTACAGAAGAGGTTCTAAAAAATTTTGAAACCCACCACTGCTTCTTGTAATTATTGTTTATCTTCTATTCATTTATTTATTAAAATGCACCTAAGGTATAGTAGTGGTAGCACCTACCAGATTTCAAATGACCAAGTTGGATAGGTCTTCAATACTAGAACTGGAAATCATTAATATCAGGGCTGTAGGCAAGATTTGGAAGTTAATGAAACATCCCAGAATAAGGCAAACACTTCTACACTGTTCCTGAAAAAACAAGATGAACATGTCAGTATACTGAATATCAGAAGTCAAGTTCAGCTTGACAGCAATTTTATCTTTATGATGTTAGAATTAGAATTAGAACCAACATAGTTGGCACCAACAGGATAATTTCCTAGTTTTTCCTCTGGTTTATTTATTTATTGGCATTTTATCTTTTCACAAAAATGTGATCTTTATCTAATTAAGTTGTATTAGTATTAATTGTTAAATAGTGGCTTACTAATTTTAAATTGGTAAGAGAAAAGGATTGCTCATTTTAAAAGCTGCCATTGGACATTTCAAAAGATTTTGGATAAGAACCATGATGAAGTTGCTATCCAAGTATGCACTGATGAGAACATAGATCTCCTGTTTATGATTAATTACTCATCATGTTAGAAGCCTATAAATGTTTGTCCTTCCCCTATATTAAAAGGCAAGACAGGCATTTTTGAGTCACTTATCTCCTGAAACATTCCAGTTAGTCCTTAAAATTTAAAATGTGTTGCAAGTTGAAATAAAACTTCATTATTGGTAAATTGGTGAAGGTTGAACTTTGTGGATTACATATGAAATAAATGACACCTCCCAGCCAAGCCCCCAATATAAAACAGGGAATTTAGAAATGACCCAAACAGGGCCATTGCATGGTGTTTTGGAATAGCAAATTAGTCCCTTTCCAATTACAGTACTATTCTGATTCAGTTGACTTATTTTCACATCCGAATCTCACTTTTCCTGTCCACATTAGAAGACACGGGGCATTTACTATCTTACCACATAGCCTAGATTTCTTATATATACATACATGCATGCATGGATGCATGCAGCCAGAAAAGTGCATTCAGATAATGATGTGGGATGTTCCATATTAGTACATTTCATATGTATAAAAGAGTTAGCAAAAGCAAATTTGCCAGAAAGGCATAATCCTTTGCCTTCTAATTTTCTTATCCAGTGCCTCTATCTGACTGTCACAGTGCTGAAGAGGCTGCTCCTAGGGGTTACAGAACACCACAAGGAAAACAAATCTGCTTTGTTGCTACTGTTCGGCTGGCCACCCCTCAGTTTTTAAAGGCAAGTTTGTCTGTCTTAGAATCTTACCAATAACAGTGATATCTAGGATTGTGCATGCCTTGGAAATGATTGAGAAGAAATACTGCAGATCATTTCTAATGAGAGAATTAGTTCAGCACTTCTTCCTTTCATTAAAGCAGCCTGAAAGCTGTGGCAACATTTTGAAAGTTATTTTAATGATACTGCCTAGCAATTCTGGAAGTTGTAGTACCAGCCTCCCTACAGAAAACAAAACTAGGGAAGGCGGATATATATGCTCCTGAATGGAAATAAATACAAATACAGGAAGTGTTAAAAGTAAATCAAGTTATTATCTGCAGATACTATTTCCAATCAAATTATGAACATTGTTTGGATTTTTCTCTTGAAGATTACCTTTTTCTTACATATGTCACTGCAATTAATTAAGTCTTTTGTCCAATATTTTTGCATGTATAGGCAAAACCAGAAATTAGTTTTGACTATGATCAAGTATGCAAAAAAATTTTTTTTAATGCAATACATTAATGAGGTCAAAGCAAAGGATCTAATTATTAAGGAATAAGACTCCTATTGGAGAATAATCTGTACTTGGTCATAATGTATAGTAAGACATTTTTCATGCATTCAGTCAACTCTTTTAATTTTAGCTGAGTTAAGTTGTATACCATAAAAGAAAAGGGATTGCATCAGCATTTATCTTCTACAGGGTCTGCTAGGTTGTGTGTGGGGATGTAAGTGCTTCAGTTAAGCAGATCTGGCATGCTGTAAACAAAATGCAAACCTAGAATACTTTCCACTTCACAATGGAATTTATTCTTCTTTTGTTGCTCTTGAGTCTTTATTGCCAGCAATATCTAACACTGACCTATAACATTTTGTCTTCTTTTCAGAAATCATAAGGCATCATAATAATCTCCCAAAATAAACATATTTTTCATCAATTAAAACTAATAAACAAGAATAACTAGTATTTTATGTATGTATGTATGTATGTATGTATGTATGTATGTATGTATGTATGTATGTATGTATGTATATGTGTATATTTGAAAATAATTCCGGTATGTATGTATGTATGTATGTATGTATGTATGTATGTATATATGTGTGTGTGTGTGTGTGTGTATACACACACACACACACACACACACACACACACACACACACACACACAC